CATGCCAGGAATTCTCTCTCTCCTCACATTCACATACTTGCTCCCCTTGCTTCCTTCAAGTTCCAACTAAAATTCCATCTTCTACGGGTTGCCTTTGCAAATCCCTCTTAATTCTGGTTCTTTCTTTCTTATAATTATTTTCTATTTTTCCTGTATATAGCTTATTCACACATATTTGTTTGATTGTTGTATCCCCTATTCAATTTCGAGCTTCTTGAGGTCACAGACTGCCTTTTGCCTCTTTTTTGGCTCCCCAACACTTAGTACGGTGCCTGGCAAATAGCAGGCATTTAATAAATGTTTACTGACTGACAACTTCCATTTCTTCTTTTCTCATTCACTCCACAATCCCTTGCAGTTTGGCTTCCAACCTCATCATTCAACTGAGACTGTTCTCTGCAAAGTTACTAAGGATTTCTTAACTGGTGTTTTCTCAGTTCTCATCCTTCTCACCCTAGCTACTGCATTCCACATTGTTTATTGTCCGTGAACTTAGACAGGAAAAAAAAAATTACACCTTCATTTTCAATAACTTCTGATTAAAACTGAGTATGTATTTCAATTACACATATTTTTAAAAAGCCATTATTCTGGGAGGGGCTTATAGGCTTCACTAGGCTGTCAAAGGGATCTATGACACAAGTACAAAAACTCACCCTCTGGGTTTTTGGTGACACTACTTTTTCCTGGTCCTCCTCCTCCCTATCAATCTCATTTGTTGATTGATCATCTACATCATTCCCTCTTACTCCTTCTACACTGGACCATTACAAATTAGCACACTGTAATAAAATTGTTTTACATGTTTGAAAAAGCAGTCTGAGGTAGTAGCTAGGTCCTTAAATCCATATATGTGGGTAGATATATATGCATATAGGTGTGTATATGTGCATATGTATATATGTATGTATGTATACATACACATACACACCAAAATAGATTATAAACTTAAATAATTGTGTAACTATGAAAGTCACATACATCCCAGCTTTTAAAAGCATTACCTTTTCTACAATTACAGAAATATTACCTACTTTGAGCTAATTATAAATTGAGTCCAATAAATTGAGAAAATATTTAGAAGTGGAAAAATATAAATTATCTTTCTTTTTCAGACTATGAATAAACAGAAAGCAAAGACCAAGTTGCAATATTTCAAATTTCTCATATTGACTAAATTGAATTAATCTTTGGTTATTGCTTTTAAAAACAGCAACTATTCCCTGAAACTGACAGATTTCACATCTATGAACGTGAAAAAAATTTTAAAACATATATCCTTTATACTACCAATAAAGTCCAGCTGTAAGAGACAGAAAGAGAAATTCCATTTAAAAAAACTATAGACAATATAAAATACTTGGGGGTCTACCTGCAATGACAAACCCAAGAACTACAAGAACAGAACAATAAAACACTTTTCACACAAAAAAATCAGATCTCAACAACCGGGAAAATATTAATTGCTCGTGGGTAGGCTGAGTCAATATAATAAAATTGATAATTCTATCCAAATTAATCTCTTTATTCAATGCCATACCAACCTATCAAAAAATTATTTTATAGAGCTAGAAAAAATAATAACAAAATTCATCTGGAAGAACAAAAAGTTCAGAATATCAAGGGAATTAATGAAAAGAAATGCAAAGGATGGTGGTCTAGCCATACTAGATCTTAAATTGTATTATAAAGCAGAAATCACCAAAACTACTTGGTATGGGCTAAGAAACAGAGTGGTGGATCAGTGGAATAGATTAGGAACACAAGATAGTAGTCAATGACTATAGTAACCTACTGTTTGATAAATCCAAAGACCCCAGCTTCTGGGATAAGAACTCATTATTTAACAAAAACTGCTGGAAAACAGTTAGACCAACATCTCACACAGTACAACAAGATAAAGTCAAAATGGGTACACAATTTAGATATAAAGGCTGATACTATAAGCAAACTAGAAGAGCAAGGAATAATTTATCTGTCAGATTTACGGAGAACGGAAGAATTTATGACCAAACAAGAGACAGAGAACATTATGAAATGCAAAATGAATTACTTTGATTACATTAAATTGGAAAGTTCTTGCACAAATAAAGCCAATGCAACCAAGATTAAAAAGGAAGCAGAAAGCTGGGAAACAATTTTACAGCTACTGTCTCTGATAAAGGCCTCATTTCTAAAATATAGAGAGAATAGAGTCAAATTTATAAGAATACTCCCCCAGTTGATAATTGGTCAAAATATAAGACCAGGCAGATGAAGAAATTAAAGTTATCTACAGTCACATGAAAAAATGTTCCAAATCATTATTAATTAGAAAAATGCAAATCAAAACAACTCTGAGGTACCACATCACACCTATCAGATTGTCTAATATAACAAAAAAGGAAAATGATAAATGTTGGAGATGAGGGAAAATTCGAACACTAATGCATTGTTGGTGGAATTGTGAACTGATCCAACCATTCTGGAGAGCAATTTGGGAACTATGTCCAAAGAGCTACAAAACTGTGCATACCCTTTGATCCAGCAATACCACTGCTAGGTTCATATCCCAAAGACATCACAAAAAGGGAAAATAATCTATTTGTACAAAAATATTTATAGCAGCTCTTTTTGTGGTGGCTAAGAGTTGGAAATCAAAGGGATGCCCATCAACTGGGGAATGGCTAAACAAGCTGTGATATATGATTTGTAATGGAATATTATTGTGCTATAAGAAATGACAAGCAGGATGATTTCAGAAAAACCTGGAAAGACTTACACAAACTGATGCATAGTGAAGTGAACAGAAGCAGGAGAACACTGTACACAGTAACAATATTGTTCGATGACTTAAATGACTTAGCTACTCTCAGCAATACAATGATCCAAGACAATCCCAAAGGACTAATGATGAAGCACACTATCCATCTCCAGAGAAACAACTGATACTGATTGAATACAAACTGAAGCATGCTATCTTTCACTTTCTTTCATTTTTTTCTTTTATTCGAGTGTTCTTGTACAAAATGACTAATAAAGAAATGTTTTACATAATTGCACATGTATAACCTATCTGATTGCTTACCATCTCAGGGAGGGGAGAGGTGAGAGAGGGATAGAATTTGGAACTCAGAACTTTAAATAAAAACGTTAAAAAATTGGAAAATTTTTAATATATGTGTATATGTATCTATATATGTAGATATGTATTTGTGTCTGTGTATATCCTTGGCTTTTTAAAATAACCATACATGACACTGAAGAATATTGTAATGATTCAGGGAATTAAACAATTTAAATATCTGCAGGCTCTTGCTGGACATAGTTGTCCTACTACCCTAAGAGAAAAACAATGCTCAAACATCCATGATTACCTATTAAATTAAGGGTGGTTCACCTCTTAATAATGTCACATTTCTTGTTAGTTTTGATCCATTTGGGGGGGGGAAGGAGGGAATGTAGGAAACCTGTGATTTCATTTTTATAAGGAACTACCAACGAAGGCAGGGCCTCCAGCTGGTACTTGTTCTATATTTTTGGTTCTTCTTTGTTCACTTTGCATTATTTTACATAGATCTTAATATATTTCTTATGTTTGGTTTAATCACCATGTTACAGGAAATTTCTAGATGAGGAAACTTATTCTATCAAGAGCAATGAGAGATTAAGTGATTTGTTCAAGGTCATACAGCCAGTATATGTCAAGAGTTAAGACCTGAATCCATATCTTCTGGCTCTGAGGCCAGCTCTCTATTACTAGAGGTCACTGCCTCTCTTCTATTGATAACAGCATAATTTATTTCACCATTCCCTAATTGCTGCACATTTGCGTTGTGTGTCTATGACACTAGTCTCAGATGCCCCACCTCTAAAACAGGGATAACAACACATACAGTAACTATCTTACTGGATGATGTGACAATAAAATGAGATAATATATGTAAAGTGCTCTGCAAAACCATATAGTATAATTCTGACAAACATTTGCCTGTGGCTGTCAGGATAGTACCTGAAAATTGTTTTAATTTGATTTTTTTTATTACTGAAGTTGAATATTATTTTGGTTGATTATCTACAATTTGTAATTCATATGCTTTGACTTTGGGAATTGAGTTTTTCCTAAATGTGTCAATTCCTCATTGTAGAGTTGACTACATCTACATAGAAAGAAAATGTATATAAAATAGAGCTAAATATACCCCCAGCTCTTAGCACAGTGCCTGGCACATAGAAGCCACATAACAATGGTTTTACTTATTGAAAAAAAAAATTAAAAGAACTGATAACTTGTTATTGATATTTTCATTTTTACTCAAATATAAACAGGTATAAAGTATGTTCAATTGATTTTGTTGATACTGTTCTTAATGTTATTTTAAAAAATAGCCAGAAAGATGTATCAGCATAGCATGCCAACTGTTTGTAAAGTTAAAAATACTGTAAAAAAAAAATTTTGGATATGAGGTTTGACCTGTGGGGAAAACAAGTGAGGGCAAAAATGCAGTTTATTAGCATAACACTGATCTCTATTCAGTACCAGTGAGGTTCAATATTCCCCGGAGAGGGGCAGCTGAACCCCTCAAGTACAGAAGAACCCTATTCGGAAAATCTGAGCCACTTACTAGCACCTTTTCCAAGTCACTTAAATTATAGCTCTCTGCTTCAGTTTACCCACCTGGCTACTTTGTTATTAGGATCGAAATCATAATCACAAACACTTTAAAAGCTGATGCCCTAAATAAATGTTTCTCAACGTCCAAAGGCGCCAACCAGGAAAAGTGGAGCCGATCCCTGCGCCAGAGACGGGCCTCGTCTGCCCAAAGAGAGGCGGGTGCGTCCTCCGAAGCCCCCGCACTTCAGTATGGGCTTTCCCAGAGCCCCTCTCTCCGAGGAGAGGGCACTTCTGCAGCCTCCAAGGCTGGCGATGGAGAGAGATGGGCTCCTCCGCAACCCGCCCAGGACGGCCTCTGTCTGGCTACAAAGCCCGTTCCCCTGGCTAGCCCCCGCACCCGACTCACCGTGAACTCCAGGCCCAGCCGGAATTGTGTGGAGGCGGTAAGGGGGAGAGCGGGAGAAGGGAAGGTGACTGACCGGGAAACCGTTCCCAAAAGAGAACCTAAAAACAGAAAGAGGCCGCAAAACACCTATGGCCGCACCCGGGAGTGGATCACAAGCAGTCGACCCCTAGAGAGCACTTCCGGAGACTTTCTCTAGGAACCTTGGGAGGCTTAGGCATCTCTATGATTTCCGTTTTAACGACCGGGGGGGGGGGGGGGGAAGAGGAAGCGAATCCAGTTCTCGACCTCATTTTTTTTTCTTGTCTGTTTCACACACTAACACACAGACACACTCTCAAGTTCTGTGCCCCTCTCCCGGCGTCTGTCTCTGTCTCTCTCATTTCCAACACTTCTTAAGCTTTCACTTAATTATTTCTTATTTACCTGCAAATATAGCTGTGCTTGGACATATTTACTTCTTGTCTCCATTTGATCGTGGGCTCCTTGATATGGCACAAGCTGTCTTTTGCCCCTTTTTGTATCTCCAGCACTTAGCACCGTGCCTGACATAGTAGGCGTTTAATAAATGTTGATAGACTGCCTGCTTGACTCACACCTGTTTTTGTCTCTGTCTCCTCACCCTTCCCCCCAATTAATGGTGTGACTGTCATTTAATAATAAAATCACATTTAAACAGCGTTTTACCGATAAAAGCCAATAAATATGTAAAAATCACTGATGGTGAAATCCACACCATATCTACACACTGACAAATGTACAGGTTCAGATGCTGTCATATTTACAGACTAGTCTTTAGAATTACATGTTTTCTAACTGCCATGTGTTGAAGTTAATTTAAAACATCTAATTTTCCTAGTGAATTGCATTCTTTTAGTCTAGTGATGATCCCATCTATAATATCACATCAGGGTTTGATTGCCATTATTTTTGCACACACACAGAACTATATAACTCTCTTCCCTCAATATAACTTACACTGAACTATTTATTATTTTCTGGTGTCCACAGCTAACTGGCCTAATCTTAGATATTTTCTGCTCAAGGTATTCAAGAACATGTCCAAGTTGTACAAAAGTGAATTTGTAAATACTGGGAGGGTGAGGATTGAATTTTGAAGGTTCCAAATGGGGAGACAGCCAAAATATGATATGCAAACCTGAGGATCATCCCCATTAAGCAATTTTTCCAGTACGTCCAGTGAGAATCATCTCCACAATGCCAAGAAGTATGTGTTGTTTGAGTAAGATTCTCTGCCAGTGTCCACAGGAAAATGAAGGAAACTGGTGGAGAAAGGAACTACTCTGAGTGACAGAAATGATATGGTACTAGAAATAATAATGTAAGAGTTGAAGGAGTTAAGTAGATTTACTCTGGAGAACAGCTGTCCATATAGAAGAGGAAGACTAGTTCTAAGTTGTTCCAACAAGTAATCTAGGTGTAGAATGGGTAAGAAAAAAGATACAGCTAATATTGTTGCTAATATAAAGAGCTTTATCATTTGTAAGTAATTCATTATCTTACTTTTTATCCTCACAACAACACTGTGAGAAAAGTCAATCAATGGTCAATAAACATTTATTAAGAACCTATTGTATGTCAAGCACTGTGCTAAGTGCCAGCGTTCCGAAGAAAGGCAAAAAAACAGTTCCTGCTATCAAGAAGCTCAGTTCTATGGGAGAAACAACCCGATACATACATACATACACACACATAATAACTTTCTACATAAATAGGATAAATTATAAATTATCACAGAAGGAAGGCACTAAAAGATTAAGGAGGGCTGGGAAAAGCTTCTTGTAGAAGCTGGACCCAGACAGTTTGAATTCAATGCTTTTCCTACCACTATCAATTTTGATAGCTCCTGAAGTTTTATGATATTAAAAGTGTGTGTTCAAAAAAAAGGTGTGTGTTTTATAAAATGGATTACATTGCCAGAATGAATAAAAATAGTGGAAAGAACAACGGACAATTACTAGCTAGCTGTGCCACTTTGGATAGAGCCCTTAAACTCTATGGGCTTCAATTCTTTCATCTGCAGGAGGAAATTATTAGTAAGATTAATAGTTAGCATTTTATATAGCACTTTAAGTTCTGTAAAGCCCTTTAAAAATATTATCTAATTTGCTCTTCACAACAATGCTGGGAAGTAGATATTATTATTATCCACATTACAGAAATTAAGGAATCTAAGGCAGGCAATGGTTAACTTCCAGTGCTCTAATTGCCTCCATTTAGATGAGTTAGAATTAGACTAGTATTACTCCCTTCCACCACTAAGGTTCTATGATTCTACCTCCAGGCATTCCAAAAACATTTATTTGGCTATGTTGTAGGCTGTATATATGTAATGATAATAGATAACCCAGTGATATCCACCATGCTTATTCAGTTCTTGTTCTATCTATGATTATCAATACAAACAGCATTTTTAACTGCATTTAAGTTATTATCTCTATTTTCCAAGTGAGAAAATTGAGGATTAGAGAAGTTAAAGAGCAGAACTCAGATTTCAACTGAGGTCTTCTGATTCTAAATCAATTGATACCATAATGCACAGGCAGATTTCATGTCAACATGAAAAATTATAATAGAGTGGGTCTAACAACAGATAAGTGAACTCCTTGCTACTGAAAATGTACGCAGAAACTACGTAACTATCTGGATTGTTATAGAAGGATTTTCTACATGAGAGAAGCAATGACCTCTAAGGGTCTTTCCTCTTGCCCCAGCAAATGTAATATTCTGATTTACTGTCCCCTCATACTGCTCCATATCTACTGGCTCATTTCCTACTACCTACAAACATGCTCATGTCTTCCCATCCTACAAAACAAAACAAAACCCTCTCTTGATCTTTCCATCCCCATTATCATCCTATATCTCTTCTGCCCTTTGTGGCTAAACTGCTCTAAAAGGCCATCTAACAAAAAGGCACCTCAACTTTCTCTCTTCTTAACCCCATATAATCCAGCTTCTGACTCTATCTTTCTATTGAAACTGTTCTTTCCAGTGTTATAAAGGATCTCTTAATTGCCGATTCTAATGATTTTTTCTCAATCTTTCTTCTCCTTGAACTTTCTGTAGCCTTTGACATTGTTGATCATTCTTTCCTCCTTGATACTCTCATCTCTCCAGGTTTTCTCTCCTAGTTCTTCTCCTACTTACCCGATCACTCCTGTCTTCTTTGCTGGATCATCCTCCAGATTATGCCCTCAGCATATGTTACGTGTTCCTCAGCATTCTGTCCTGGGGCCTCTTCTCTCTCCACACTACATCTGGTGATCCCATTAGCTCTCATGGATTTCATTACCATATCTATGTTGTTGATTCTCAAATCTGTTTACCCTGCGCCAGTCTCTCTGTTGTCTTCCAATCTCACATCTCCAACTGCCTTTTATATATCTCAAACTGGATGTCCAGTAGACACCTTAAACTCAATATGTTCAAAAGAGAATTCATCTTTCCCCTTAAAACTTCCCATTTCCTACCTTCCCTGTTACTGTAAAAGGCAGCACCACCCTCCCATCCCTCAGGTTCACAACCTAGCTATAATTCTGGATTCCTCATAATCCTCACCCTCCATTTCCAATCTTTTTCTAAGGTGTGTTGATTTTACCTTTTATACTGCCAAAATTTACACTTTATTTACTATACTGCCGCCATGCTAGTGCAGGCCCTCACTATGCCTGGACTATTGCAATAGTCTGCTGGTGGGTCTGTCTGCCTCAAGTCTCTCTGAAGAGGTCTAGGACTTTTGGGGTGCTGCTGGGGTCACCCCAAGATTGTGATACTGGGCCCTGCCTGAATGAATTCACCTCAAATTTTCTTCAAGCCAGAGAAAAAGTTTATTAGTGATAAATCACATAGGTCAGGTGATGCCCCTAAGGACAAGCCTGCATGAGAAAGGCTCAGCCTTTTGAGCATGAAGTTCTTAGCATCTGAATGGGGGCCAAGGTGGATCTTAAATACTAAAGTGACTTTGGGTGGCCAGAGAAGGGGGCTGGGAAAAGGGTCTAGGTAAGAATTCTAATTGGGAAGGTCTGAGAGATTGAATAGACAATGGGAATAGCTAATGGAGGGAACAGGAAGTCTTTTATGGGGCCTGTAATGAAGGGAACTGGAAGGCATCTGAGTAAGGTCAAAAGGTGAAGGCTAAGGCTTCCAAAGGGAGATAAGGGGAGTTGATAAGGAACCATTTGAGACAAGAGGAAGGGCTTTCTGGCACCCATAGACAAAAGGGAGCCAGATTCTTTTAGGGCTAGGGGCAAAGGTGCATCTGAATAAGATTAAAAGGTAAGCTAAGGCTTTCAAAAGGAGATGAGGGGCTGGGGCCTATAGACAAAAGGAGTCAGATTCCCTTTGGTGCAAGGGGCAAAGACCTGGGCTTGGGCCACACCCCATCATCTCCCTACTCCAGTCCATCCTCCCATCAGCCACTAAAATGATTTTCCTAAAGCACAGGTTCAATCCTCCCTCTCCCCTCTTTCTCTCTCTGTCTCTGTCTCTCTCCCTCCCTCCCTCCCTCTCTCTCCCTCTCTCTCCCTCTCTCTCTCTCTCTCTCTCTCTCTCTCTCTCTCTCTCTCTCTCTCTCTCTCTCTCTCTCTCATACACACACACACACACACACACACACACACACACACACACACACACACTTTCTCTCTCTCTCAACTTCAGCAGTTTCCTATTGCCCCCAAGAACAAATACAAAATGCTCTGTTAGATTTTAAAAGCCCTTCATAATCTAGCCCCCTCCTACTTTTCTAGTCTTTTTACATCTTACTCCTTGCCACATAATCTTTGATCCAGTGACACTGGCCTCCTGCCTGTTCCACAAACAAGACACTCCATCTCTCATCTACAGGCATTTTCTCTTGCTCTTTCCCTGGAACACTTTTACTCCTCCACTCCAACTACTGACCTCCCTGGTATCCTTTAAGTCTTAACTAAAATCCCACCTTCTACAAGAAGCCTTCTCCTTCTCTAACTTTTCTTAATTCTAGCACCTTCCCTGATAATTATTTCCTATTTATAGCTTGCTTGGTATATATGTTTTCATGTTGGCTCTCTCATTCAATTGTAAGCTCCTTGAAAGCAGGGACTGTCTTTTGTCTCTTTTTGTATCTCAGTGCTTCGCACAGTACCTGGCATATAGCAGGCACTTAATAAATGCTCATTGTTGAC